GTTTCGGGTTCAGGGTTTAGGAGTATATCGGATTTGCCTTCGTCAGGAGAAGCTCAACCGCTTGCTCGTTGGCCGCGGAGAGAATTGCCGGCCTCGCAGAACTAGTCAATGCTTTGGGGTTTAGGGTTTAGNNAGGGTTTAGGGCTTAGGGTTTAGAATCTGGGTAGTTCTCGAAATTAGGTTCCCTGTTTAGGCTGTTTAGGCCAATATAGTACGGGACCCTCAATTTAGAGAACTAACCATCTATTTTTGCTTTGGGTTGGGGTTTGAGATTTACTGTGCCGTATTTGCGTAGTTATTAAAAAAAGGGGTCCTAGTTGCACATCAGCTATTTGGCCACTGCGTGCTGCCCAACTCTGGAGGCAGTCGATGCGGCGGTCCAAAACGGACCCTTATTAATTATTGCTTAGAGACAGCACCAGTGCGTTGATTAAACCACTGCATGTAAAACAGGCGTGACAGTATGTAGTAAGAGCAATACTTAGCGTCCCATTCCAGCTACACATAGTATACCCTGAAAAGAGCAGTCTTGACCATTAAGGCACCGATACTAAGGCTTTGTTGTAAGACGCTAGGAAGCCTTATCCAAGAGGGTCCATATATACTACTATTATGGAATTAGGTCCCCAAAACCATAGTAGGGATGGTCTTTTGGGACCTAATTCCATAATGGTAGTGTATATGGACCCTATGGAAGCCATAGCGGAACGTATTCGAACCAGTAAGGCCTTCGCATGACCTCAATTTATGGACAAAGCCTACTTGGAGGATCATGGGACTTAGTAAGTAAGGTTATAAGTCCCTTAATTGGGGTTATAAGTATAGTTACCCTAATTATAACCCTACTTACGAAGTCCCATGATCCTTTAAGTACACTAACTCTGATGAACCAAAAACCCAGAGGGCATGTCGCATTGGGAGGATTTGGGGTTGAACTGAAGAGCTGCATGGGTAGCTTAGGGTTTAGGGTTTAGGGTTTAGGGCTTAGGGCTTAGGGCTAAGGGTTTAGGGTTTAGGGTTTAGGGTTTAGGGTTTAGGGTGTAGGGTTTAGGGTTTAGGGTTTAGGGTTAGGGTTTA